ACGCCGATTACTCAAACCTTGTTAGTCTCCACACCGTTAGGAGATGGTGTGGAGACGGACCACTATTATCCATCTTGTGAAGAATAAGTGACATGTCAACCTCTGACTTGTGATTTCGTACCTCTAAATATGTTGGAGTTTGACACAATCCTAGGGATGGATTGGCTCGAGAAGCATCATGCTCGAGTTGATTGCTACACCAAGGTCTTAGAACTCGAGGATGATGAGGGAAACACCTTACGTTTCGAGGGAGATCGAGGGAGATCTCATAGTTGTATCATATCCGTGATGAGAGCACGGAAGATGATGAAGAAAGGTTGCCACGCGTACCTCGCTTATGTGGTAGATGGGACAAAGAAGAAGGTTGACATTAGGGTTGGACTCGGGTCCGGGCCGGGTCCGGGTCGGGCCTAGGCCCGGGCGGGCCGGCGGGTCAGAAATGGTGGACCCGGGACCGGCCCGGGTAACCACCGGGTCCGGTCCGGGTCCGGGCCGGGTCTGGTCCGGGTCCAGGTCCGGGCCGGGCCGGGTCGGGCCGGGCCGGGTCGGGCCGGGCCGGGCCAGGCCCATTATATATATATTTTTTTTGTTTTCCTCTTCCTAATTAACCCCCCTCCCACCCCCAACCCCCCAAACCACCCCAAATGGCTCAAAATACCCAGCCCAACCCGAAAAGTTAAAAAAAATTGAAAAAACAAAAAAAAAATGGCCCGAACCGGGCCCGGGCCCGGGCCCGGCCGGGTCGGGCCTTGTTTTGGGTGACCCGAGCCCGGACCGGAAAACCCACGGGCCGGGCCTACCCGGACCGGTCACTGACCGGGCCATCGGGTCGGGCCGGGCCGGAACAGTGCCGGTCCCGGGCCGGTTCCGGGTCGGGCCACCCGGCCCGAGTCCATCCCTGGTTGACATCAATGATGTACGTGTCGTGTGTAAGGATCCGGGCGTCTTTCCCAAAGACTTACCGGGGCTTCCACCCGATAGAGAGATCGAATTCGTGATTGAAGTAGAGCCGGGAACCAAATCCATTTCGATTCCTCCTTATCGAATGGCACCGGCAGAACTTCAAGAGTTGAAAGTCCAATTACAAGAACTATTGGACAGTGGGTTTATTAGACCTAGTCATTCACCGTGGGGAGCACCGGTACTTTTTGTGGAAAAAAAAGATGGAACACTAAGAATGTGTATTGACTGCCAACAGTTGAACAAGGTCACAGTCAAGGATAAGTATCCTTTACCGAGGATTGACGACTTGTTTGACCAACTTCGGGGGGCATGGTGTTCTCTAAGATTGATTTAAGGTCGGGCTATCATCAGTTGAAGATCAAGGAGAGTGACATACCTAAGAGTGCCTTTCGCACTAGATATGGTTAACCAATGCACCGGCGGCATTCAAGGACTTGATGAACCGTGTGTTTAGTGAGTACTTAGATCAGTTCGTGATTGTATTCATTGATGACATCTTGATATACTCAAGAGACGAAGAAGAACATGAACATCACCTGAGGCTTGTGCTTGAAAGGCTAAGAGAGAAGCAACTCTTTGCCAAGTTCTCAAAATGTGAATTTTGGCTTAAGGAGATTGGCTTCCTCGGACATGTCATATCCGGATCGGGCATTGCGGTGGACAATGCAAAGATAGAAGCTATCATCGATTGGGGGCGAGCCAAAAATGTGAAAGAGATACGTAGTTTCCTTGGTTTAGCAGGGTACTATCGTAAATTTGTGGAGAAATTCTCCGTGTTGGCGTCACCACTTACGAAGCTCACGAAGAAAGGGGCTAAGTTCGTATGGGACGACAAGTGTGAGAAAGGGTTTCTTGAGCTAAAGAAACGACTCTCCGAGGCACCAGTTCTTGCTCTACCCATACAAGGGATAGGGTATGATATCTATAGTGATGCTAGCATCCAAGGGCTTGAATGTGTACTGATGCAAAACGGGAAGGTAATTGCTTATGCTTCTAGGCAATTGAGGAAACATGAGGTGAACTACCCTACCCATGACCTAGAGTTGGGAGTGGTAGTGTTTGCACTAAAAAAATTGGATGCATTACCTCTACGGGGAGACATGTCACATCTACACCGACCATAAGAGCCTGAAGTATGTATTCACTCATAAAGAGTTGAATATGAGACAGAGGAGATGGGTGGAGTTGATCAAGGACTATGACTTGATCATCGACTACCATCCCGGTAAGGCCAATGTGGTGGCCGATGCGTTGAGTAGGAAGAGTACGTCGAGCATTGAGGGCGCGCGGGGAGGTGACCGCGAGCGGGGCCCTCATAGCGAGATTCGAGGTTAGACATACCTTGATGGATGAGATTAGCAGATGTCAGGGTAGTGATGAAGAATGTCAGAAGATCCGCGAATGTATCACTGCGGGACCCGTTGAGGATTTCCGGGTACGTGAGGATGGTCTATTGTTGTTTAAGGATCGTATATGTATATCGAAAAATGAAGAGCTCCAAAAGTCCATACTAGAGGAGGCTCATTCCTCGGCTTATTCTATGCATCCGGGGGTACAAAGATTTACCGAGACCTAAAGGAAGGCTATTGGTGGTCAGGCATGAAGAGGGACATTGCAGAGTATGTGAGTCGGTGCCTTACTTGTCAGCAAGTTCAGGCGGAACATTAGTATCCGGCAGGACTTTTCAGCCACTTACCATTCCAGAATGGAAGTGGGAACATGTGACCAAGGACTTTGTGGCATGATTGCCATGGACGGTGAACAACTACGATGCAGTATGGGTAGTGGTTGATAGGCTTACCAAGAGTGCACACTTCTTGCCTATCAACATCACTCATCCTCTTGAACGATTGACCAAGTTGTACACGGAGGAGATTGTGAGGTTACATGGAGTTCCAATATCCATTGTCTCGGATAGGGACCCACGATTCACATCCAGGTTTTGGCCAAAGTTCCAAGCATCATTGGGAACTAAACTGAAGTTTAGCACAGTGTTTCACCCTCAGACGGATGGACAATCCGAGCAGGTGATACAGATTTTGGAAGACATGCTTAGGGCATGTGCTTTGGACTTCCAGGGGAGTTGGGACAAACATTTGGCACTAGTGGAGTTTGCCTGTAACAACAGTTATCAGGCGAGTATTGGCATGCCTCCATACGAGGCATTGTATGGGAGGAAATGCAGGACACCGTTGTGTTGGGACGAGGTTGGCGAGGCCAAGCTCGAAGGTATAGAACTTGTCGAGATCACCAAGGCTAAGGTGAAGATCATTCGGGATAGACTTAAGACTGCCCAAGATCGGCAGAAGAGCTATGCTGATAAACGGCGTAGACCGTTAGAATTTGCACTTGGTGATGGGGTGTTTCTAAGGATTTCTCCTTGGAAAGGTATCATCCGATTCATATCGAGGGGTAAGCTTAACCCTCGTTACATTGGTCCGTTTGAAATCCTTGAAAGGATTGGCGCCGTGGCTTACCATCTCAAGTTATCACCTGAACTTGAGAAGATTCATGACGTGTTCCACGTATCGATGTTCAAGAAGTATGTACGAGAGCCGTCACATATTCTTGAGAGACCACCGGTAGAGATCCAAGAGGACTTACAATATGCAGTGGAGCCGGTGAAGATAGTGGACCAGCATGTAAAGAAGCTTAGGAACAAGGAGATTCCTATGGTAAATGTACTTTGGAGGAGTGATCGAGTCGGAGAAGAAACCTGGGAGACCGAGATCTCAATTAGGGAGCAATACCCGTTTCTTTTCTATTAGACACGTTGATTTCGGGGACGAAATCCCAATAACGGGGGTGAACTTGTAACACCGTCCCCAAGTATATTTACTTTTTAGTAAATCATGTAATAGACCTTGAATGATGATTTATGAATTTACGAGGTTGTAAATTTTTGATTACTTTTGAGTGAATAGTGGATTGCACGTGGGGCCCACATCAGGAGCGAGGACCACCTGATAATCCCGGGACCGCATACTATATTCATCTTGGTCTAGATAATATTTATATGATGGTATATATTTTAGTTGGGTCATAGAAAGAGCTTAGGGTTGACCCATTGGTCAGACGAGGCCGAATTAACGGAATTGGTAATTTATCGGGTAATAGTCTGAAATGGATTTTCGGAGACTTCTAAATTAAAATTGAGGAATGTATATTCATTCTAAAGGCATATAGTTTTTTGGACATGTGATATATTTTATTTGACCCGATAAAATCAAATATAATTAAAACAGTCTGAGAAATACAACTTTCAGGGCTGATTGTACACATCGGGACACAAATGGGTGACGTCCCAGATGAGTGGGGGCCACCCCATGAAATTACACCTTCTATGAGTGAATTGTGTGATGTGGAACTCAAGTTGAGACATGTTGATGTATGATGAGATGGGAGAGACAAAGATGAAAGGCAAAGGGTCCCTCCTCCCATCATTCTTGGAACTTTGACACAAAATTGGTCAACCAACACCCCTCCCCTCCATTATGCTCGACTCTCCCACCAAAGTAGAAGAAAGAAAGCTCTAAAACTCCATTGTTCCATAGCCAATTCGAGCTCAAGCTATAGTGATCCAAAGAGGAGGATTAACGAAGGAAAAAGTGAGGAAAAACTTGGATAATTGAGGTATTATTGACCTCATAATAATTTTTCCTCTACTTATTACTTATCATATGATTTATATATCATATGGAAGACCCCTAGAATTGTTCTACATGATTAGAGGTGTAGAATGAGGGGTTGAGAGGTAGTTCTAAGTCCAAGAATGAATTTAGAAGCCAAAATGACCGATTCACCGGAAAATAACCTTTTAGAGATTATTTGTATTGATATGAGTTTTGTTATGATAAAACCATGTTAGGAGCTTGACTAAAGTGTTTCTAGAGTTCGTCGGAGTTTCGTCGGAGTTCGCCGGAGTTTCGCTAGTGTTCAACTAAGAATGATAGAATTTCTTAAAGCTCATTTGAGGTGAGTGGATGTATTAATGTCTTGTAACTTTTAGGTTAAGCATGAGATTATAAGCCAAAGTGATTAGACTTGTATGAAATTAAGTATTGAAATATACATGAATTGTGTTGTCGTCGGAGAGGCCATGAAGAGAGAGAATCTCTCACATCTTTCTAAAACATCGGCCACCTGTTTTTAAAGAAAATGGATTTCCGGCCATTCATACGCCGGCATCCACAACCACATCTCACAGATAATCAATTCTACACTCATGTGCGTTCTTTTGGCTTCGACGGGAATTTCTCACCAGCCCGTATGTACACCCCAAATTCAGAGGTGCAGAGGCCAGATTTCTAAGTTATGAAGAGGAAACACCAAGAAGGAAACAAGGCTTCTACAGGTTACCTAACTCATCCGCCTGGGACGGCAACAACAGCAACCCATTTCGCAGGCACGGGATTGATGGACACCAACCCAGGCATAGGGAACAGAGAAAACGCAGGTCACACTACTCAGCCCCCTTTCACAAACCCAGGTCAATCAACTCAAATTTAACGAAGGCAGAACACCACTTTGAAGCAACATGTCCCAACACTACACCTACACAGGGGAAGATAACCCCCGACACCACTCTATCTGGTGTGGCGAAGAGAGCCCCAACGCCACTGTTACACAGCGGAGACTGAAGTCGGATGGCGCCGGTCAGCTCGCGACCACAGCCCCTCCCAACTAGAAAACGATGAGGGATGGCAGACGGTCAACTACAAGGGACGACGCCGACCATCCAATCAGCGGCACTCGCCGCCTCAAAGCCTCTACCCAGAAATCGACAGGTATGCTTCCCGGATACTCCCCAGTGACGCAAATCGTTACCACCGTCTGATAATATAAGAGACGCCCTTAACTCAGCCCAAACCTTCGAATCTGAACTACAATCAAATTATTCATCTGATTTTGACCTCAACCAGAGAATTCAACGAATTCAGATCAAAGGGGGGAAAAGAATTCCTAGAGACCGTCGCCTGAGCGGCGATGGACCACCACATCACGCCGGCGGGTGCAGACCGGAGAAATCCAATCAGGCGGGCCCATGTTGCTCAGCGCCTGGTCAAGCGGCCGACAACCCCCAACCCGACAAGCTGTATCAGGCAGAGACACAAGAACAAGCCCTCACATGGGCAGATGTGGTAAGGGGGGATACGGACAAAGTGAATGACAGAGTACTCCTTTCCCTGTCAATTATCAGGGAGGACGCATCTGCGTTAAAGGAAAAGTCAACCAAACTATTGGAACCGGTTGAATCAATTAAGGCCTCGAAGAATTATCCGAAAAAATCCTATTTTATGGAGAAGCAGGCTTTGATTCAACCAAAATTGAATCAAAGACATTTAGATTTGCTGTGAGGAAAAAGGAAATGGTGATTTTTGAAATTAAAAAATCCACGCTACACGTGATTAATTTCGAAATGGACCTTGGGACACAAACCTACCATTTTATCCTCCAACTCACAAGTTCAGAAAAATTTAATCAGAAAAAAATTCGAGCCTATCACGGATACTTCAATCCTCAACAATTAGGTTGTTATGTGAAGATTGCTAAAGAAAAGGGGAGCTCAATTCTAGTACCCAGGGGCCCACACAACTCAAAAGTCAATCAATTTTTGAAATTGTTTTCTAACTTTGTTGGTTACTCTGGTATCGAGCAGGATGATCCCATTCATTGGGAACGTGAGACTACCATTGATATCAAGGATATAACCATCTCCAAACTAATATTTAACTATGAAGTTCAGAGAACCTTTGGTAATAAAGAAAACTCTTCTCACCCTATGGTTACTATAAGTCAATCATGAAGTCATCAAATAGATGACTTCACAGAAGGATTGATAACTAGAGGTCAATAAAAAACGCTACAAGATGATGAAGACTATTACATCTACCCAGTTTACTCAAACTACGATTCACCTCAAAAGTTGATAACCGGACTCGAACGCTATAAGTCAGCACACCCAGATGCAAAGTCGTACCCTCCTTATCTCCAACGGGCTATCCATTTTCACCATAAATACAACCCGCTGTTTTTAACCAATGTAGGTGTGCCTACAACGAATGTTATTAGTTAACTCTATCTTTTGTGTTTTTATCTTGTACTTTGCTCTATCGATCTTTGTACTTGCAATCCTTTTCTTAATAAACTGGAAAGTGTTCCCCGGCGCTTTCCCCACTTTCAGTGGCATTTTCGGGATAAAAAAATACATGAATTGTGAAATGAAAATGTTTATAAAAACATATGTGATATGTTTAGAGATAAATGATGCATAATATGGTTGTTTATAACTTAATCCATGTTGTGATTAAGTTTGACACATATTGGATTTGAAATAGCGGGTCAACTGAGTGTTGACCGGTTGTCCAGGGGCAACTGGCGCCGGTCATGCATAGAACCGGTGCCGGTTTGAACGGGTATAGCCCGGTTCATATTATTTGATTATGAACCGGCGCTGGTCAGGTTTGAACCAGCGCCGATTTTGCTTTTTACTGCCTATATGTTGATTTAATGCATGAATTACATGGATAATTTTGCTTATGCCTTAAGACTTGGATTAGTCTCGCTTATTAATTATGATATAGACCTTATCTAGTATGATATGTGGTAGATCATAGGTCGGGTGGACTACCCAAGGATCGGGAGGTATCCTCAAAACTCGGTTATGTCTGGTGGAGTACCCAAGGATTGGGCGGCATCCTCAAAACTCACTTATATCAGGTGGAGTACCCAAGGATCGGGAGGTATCCTCAAAACTCAGTTATGTCGGGTGGAGTACCCAAGGATCGTGCGCCATCCTCAAAACTCAGTTATGTCGGGTGGAGTATTCAGGGATCGGGCGGTATCCTCAAAACTCAGTTATGTCGGGTGGAGTACCCAAGGATCGGTCGGTATCCTCAAAACTCAGTTATGTCGGGTGGAGTACCCAAGGATCGGGCGGAATCCACAAAACTCAATTATGTCGGGTGGAGTACCCAAGGATCGGGCGGTATCCTCAAAACTCGGTTAAATCGGGTGGAGTACCCAAGGATCGGGCGTGTATCCTCAAAACTCATAGATTACTGTTAGTAATTCAGGGTCGGGCGGAGTCCTTACAATTATTTGATTTGGACCGGAGGAGTCCTATACATTCATAGGTCTATGGGTGGGTTGGGGTTATAAGTCAAGGACCTTGACTACTACTATTTTCCCAAATAAACAATGACCTACGGGTCGTGTATTTCCAAGTGTATAAAAGTACCGATATGTATTTTACAATTTAGGGTAAAGGAGTATAAGTATATGTATCACCCTATGTTTGGGTCTCATACTTAAAACGTTAGTTACTCTACATTTAGCTTGCTACTCGCTCGGTACTTGTACTGACCCCTTCGGGGGGCACCATTTTCAGGTTGAAGCTAAAGCTTGTCATCCGCATCTTGTTCAGCGGAGTGATCTAAAGGAAGACGTGGTTCGTGCTTCCTTTATTGTTTAAAACTACAAACTATGCTCATGGATATTTAATGTAACGTATACATTGTTTTGGGCCTGTGAGCCCGCTTTTGGCCATATGTGACCCACGATTGATTATTGAATATTTCCGCTATTCAATTAATCTAAACTGTGATGTTGTTATGTATGTTTACTACTGAGTATGGTGTGAACGATGTTCATGAACGCCTTATGTGATTAAGAGAGGTTGACTTGCGAATGACGTCACTTGGTCACACGGCGGTTGTACACGCGCTTGAATGCAGTCTGGAGCGTGACAGCGATGGGTCGGACCAATATTTTTGATAGAGTGATTGATCTTCCTCCTCGGGCCGAGAAGGCTTATTATTCTGATCTATTTGGGCTTCCTTGAGACATATCCATTAGTTTTTTGGGTGTTGTGGTTTGCTGCTCTTTTTTCCTTTGCTTTATTTGCTAGGTTTTTTAGCTTAGCTCTTGTTTTACTTTAATTGGTGATGCTTGTATCACTCTTGTATCACACTTTTATCAATTAATAATATCCTGGCAGTTGACCCTCGGCTTCTGTCCCACTGATTTTGGTGGTTTGCCTTCCGGGGTAAAGAAAAATGAAAAAAGGAAAAAGAAAACCATGTGGGCTGCCATGTGGACCGCCACATGGGCTGTTAAACTGGAACCTTAAGTCTACCTATTAAGGATGTTTTTATTTGAATTGTTTTCATTCCTAGATCAGACCAAATCAAACTTAAACAGGCAAAACTAGATAAGACTCAAGCAAACCAGACTTAAACAGACCAGAACAGACTTCCGTAGTTATAAAATACAAAGAGACCAGACGTTTATCAGATGAGATCAGACGTTTATCAAACCAGACCAATTCAAACCAGACTTAAACAGACCAGACCAGGAAACTACAGTCCAAGTAAAAACATCCTAAAACGCTAAATTGATCGATTTTTAAGTGTTCAGGAGCTCAATTGGGTGTTTTTCAAGTACGAGAACCTAATCGCCATATTCACTATAGTACATGGGTATATTTGATAGTTTTCCCTTGTGGTAATGATAATTAACCGTCGATCAATATTTAGCTCAATTGGGTGTTTTTCAAGTACGAGAACCTAATCGCCATTTTCGCTATAGTACATGGGTATATTTGATAGTTTTCCCTTGTGGTAATGATAATTAACCGTCTATCAATATTTAGTTCAACAAGTGTCTTAAAACTTATCAAAAAGCTATTGGTCAATTGATAAACAAAGATAAGAGTTGTTTTGTTGTTGGGAAGCGTATGACAGTTGGTAGAACTCTTCAAATAGGAAATGAACTAGGCATGAAGGCTTCTAAGCTTCCCTTTAAGTATCTTGGAGTTCAGATACATAAGGGCATTACCACGCTTGCTCATTGCAAGGAACTGTTAGACATGTTTGATAAAAAACTGTCTAGTTGGAGACAGAAAAAACTTTCACAAGGGGGTCGGCTTATACTTATAATTAAACATGTTCTAAATTCCATCCTTATCCATATTCATACTGTTACAAACATTCCAACTGCAGTAATTAATATGATCAACAGGAAAATAGCTGATTTCTTTTGGGGGTTCAAAGGAAATAAACCTAAGTACCACTGGGCTAGCTTGTAGAGGTTGTGTAAACCTACGGAGGCAGGGGGTATTAGGTTAAGGTCTATATGTGACATTCAGAAGGTCTTTTCGATTAAGATTTGGTGGCTTTTTCAGAAGGAGGACTCAATCTGGACCCAGTTGATGAGATCCAAATATGGTAGTAGGCCTATGGGTGTTATCAAGCCAACAGATTCCCCTACTTGGAAGAGAATTTGTCATATTCATGAGGAGGCTGAACAAATGGTTGACAGGGGTCCTAATGGGATGATTTGGAAACATACATCAGATGGGATTTTCACAGCTAAATCAGCTTATTTAGCTTTATGGCCGCAGGGGGAAGGATTTTATCTACTACAAACATTTGGCATAGAAAACAATTGCCCAAAATCAAAGTCTTTTTGTGGAGACTTTGGAACCATTGTTTGCCTTTTCCGGAGAATTATGCAACCTTCTCTGTAGCTTACCCATCACATTGTCCTCTCTGTCGAAGGGCAGGAGCGGATATGGATCATGTTTTGTTGTCCTGCTCGTTAGCCAGATCTGTCTGGAAATTTTATGAAAGCCTCCTATTGCAAGGAGGAAAGGAGGTCAGTCATATTAAATTGGAATTGATAAAATGGTGGATTTCTGCTAAAGGAAAAAATTTGGATGAACAGTATAAGCAAATTTTGCCTGGTGTTATTACATGGCACCTGTGGAAAGCATATTGGAAGGCGACTTGGGAGGGCGAAATTCTTGAGAAAGACAAGATTATACTTAATATTGGCAAGTTTATGACCTCTTGGAGTTTTGCACAAAGGAATCTATGAGGGGGTAGAATATTGAAGGAGAAGGGTTTGTTACCTCAAATGTTTGGGAAGATGAAACCTCGAGTAAGCAGATGGCTCAATCGTTCTTGAATTAAATTGGGAGGTGTTCCGGCAGAACGGTAAATCATCGACTGGCTTCTTGTTGAGGGACCATTCTGGATCTCCGGTGGCTGCTCAAGGTTTTCCTCTTAGCGGATCGACGGAATTGGAAGGTGAAGTGTTTCGACATGCTCTTGACTAGTTAATAGGTCTTCAGGTGAAATTTCTGGAGATTGACGTTGTTTGTTCGAAGATGATAGATCGGTGTATATCCCATGCGAGCGACGCTGGGCTGGATCCAAGGTGTGGGTAATACCGGCCCAATTAAACAAAGCAGATTGGTGGGTGGCAAAGTTGGGCTTTGAGGGGAGTTTCTCATGGAGACCGGGATGCTTGGTGGGCTTCTTGGAGCAATGAGACTGGATAAATCCACCCCATATGTGTTGTATTAATTTTTAAAAAAAATGTTGATTATGCAAATTGTTGTTTTGGCTTTTTGTGGAAGGGGAATGCCCTTTGGAGAGGTTTTGGTTTGGTCCCCCTCTCAAAATGTTGTCTTTCTATTGTTGGGTTGGAATAAAAGTTTGGCAAATGTTCCCCGTTATTTGCCCCACTGATTTGGCCCCCGAACTTAAAAATATTTTGACATTTTTTAGGGTTGAGGGGGTAAATTGAACGATTCGATCGGGTTCAGGGGCTTATTTGACCCCCTAAGATGTCATGTCACATGCACAGTTGGCACCCTACCGGGTGATGTGGCGGTGACCGGCTTGTGACCTGCAAAAAGTAAAATTTGAAATTTTTTATGGAGTTCAGGGTGCCAATTGAAGCTTTTTTGAGTTCGGGGGGCAAATTGAACAATCCGGAAAGGTTCAGGGTGCCAATTAAAGCTTTGGATTGCTTAAGTGCAAACAAAGCAATCACACTCAGAATATTCTGGAAAAGATAAAGTGCTAATCCATCACTTTACTTTTGGCTCGTTCACATTTCTTTAAGCTCTTAGACTAGTTCACAATGAAATATTCATACTAAAGCTAAGAATAGTTGGTGGAAAGTTGTAACACCTTTGGAAAGAATTTATGCTGCAAATCCAAAGAGTGGGTAGAATAGGACATGGGTAACTTCCGAATTAGACTGATTCATTAGTGAAAAACCTAGAGGCTAGAGTAACTTGGAGTGGTGTGTACTCCTAGTGAAAACCTGATAGTTTATGCATGTGATCAAGGGTAAATTAGTCACTAAGTGTAT